TGTAGTCAACCTGCCACCAGGTTGCAGGCTGGTCACCATGGAGAACAGTGCCATATTAGGGGCTCAGTGTTGGTCTTTGCTGTTGGCAGATCTGGCACTAAGCAGCAGCTGTAGCCAGGTAAGATTTCGTGAGTGGGAATCCATGCTGTTGATCCCATGCATAACCTCCATCTCTGTCACCATGGCCACTTTGTTCATGGGCACATTGAGCAATGACAGGGATAGCTGAAGAAAGAGGCTGACAATCCACAGAGCGGGTCATCTGATCTACTTGATTATTGAACTCATCTTCTGCTGAAGCCACTTTTTGATGAGCATTTACATGAGACACAAGTATGTTCACATCCTTTGCCCATTTGGAGAGATCTGTCCACATACTTCTTCCCCTAATGTCTTTCTCACCATTTCTAATCATGCTCCTTCCAAGTCCCTGAGCATCCAGCCAAACCATTAACTACAGCCCATGAATCAGTATATAATCGCACTTCTGGCCATTTCTCCTTCCAAGCAAAATGCATAACCATGTGCACTGCCTGAAGTTCTGCCCACTGTGAACCCGGTGCCCTTCCCTGGTGTCCTTCAGTGTTGTTTCAGAAATTGGCTATAATGCCGCAGCTCTCCACTTCTGAGTGGTGCCTGCATAGTGTGCAGAACCATCTGTAAATCAAGCCCTAGTCTTCTCTTCCTCAGTCAACCGATCATAGGGCATACCCCATGAAGCCATAGGTGCATTCTTGAGAACAGGAGGCATCGTAACAGGAGTGGGAACGGTAGGCATTTGGGCAGTTTATTCACGTATATTCCTTGTGTCCTCCAGGCCTTCTCAGGCCCAATCATGTAAAGTGGGGTGAGGGGAGAGTGTGGGCTGACCAAACCCTGGTTTGAAGAATCTTAACAAATTTATTGGACTTGCTAACTGAACTTGGGATATGGGTTTACTTATAGATGACTGGGTGCCCCTCCCCCCAATTCATGGCTGTATTCAAGAGTCCACACCCAGACATAAATCCTGTGGTTCCATAAAGCCTTACAAACTGGCAAGAGTGGCCTCATGGTTTTCCCACATCCGGTTGAATGTGCTGGTATACACCTTTAATCCTAGCACTCTGGATGCAGAAGCAAGTGGATCTCTGTGAATTCCAAGACAACCTTGTCTACATAGTTCCAGGCCAGCCAGGAATACATATTGAGACTCTGTCTCAAAAAAAAAAAAAAATCCAATGTACCTGCAAAGTATATATAATTATTGCATGTAAATTTAAAAAGAAAAAAAAATACAAAGATTTATTAGGGTGCATTCCTGAAATTTTCCTAAATCTTTATTCTAGTTTACTAATTCTTTCTTAAGCTATACCTAAAATGCTACTTATTCCACTTATTAATGTGGAATCATTTTAATTTTGGTAACTATATTTTTCAGGTCAGGAAATTATGTTTGGTTATGTTTAGTAGCACTTTATTTTTTTATTGTATTCTTATTCCATCTTATATGTCTTGAGAAATTTAAAGCCGGTTCATTTTATTGTCCATCTGTAATAATTCCACTATCAGAAGTTCTTGGTAATGGATTAAAAATGGGATCTAGGGGCTAGAGAGATGATTCAGTGATTAAGAGCTCTTGTTGCCCTTGCAGAGAACATACATTTATTTCCCAGCACCCACATGGCTGCTCACAACCATCTTTCACTCCATTTCTAGGGTATGCAAGACCCTCCATGAGCACTAGGCACAAATGCCTACTTATGCATACATGTAGGCAAAATATTCATATACATAAAATAAAAATAAGCAAATACAAAACAGTGGGATCTAATTCTCCTATGATACGAAGGTGTTTTCCATGTAAACATTCTAGAATCCTTTTGCCACTGAGGCCTTTTTTTCCCTAGAGAGGCTTTGCATTAGTTTCTGACAGATTCAAGGCTACCAGTGGTCTAGCTGCCATTTTTTAAAAATAACCTGAATGGATACTCTTGGATGACATAGATAACATAAATAAATAAGAGTCACACAAAGGGTAGGGTCCCTTTTTAAAACAATTTTCTAGGGAGATCTCCTTTTTTTCAACAAGCTCTTTTGCCAAGATGGGCAAATTTCCTGTTCTTCCCCCTTTCAGATGGGCTTATATTTTCTTGGTCCTTAGAGGACCAGGGCCAAGGGCAGCTCATTACCTGAACTGACTCTGATTTAGGAAGAATGCTGAGTACCTGAATCCATCTGGGTTTCACTTTTTTCTTTTTCATTTTAAACCCTACACTGTTACCTGGTAAGACATTGACAGAATTTTTGTTTTAGTTGAAGCTACTCCTTCAGTGTTTCTTTTCTTTCTTTTTTTAAAAAAATATTTATTTCATTGATTTGTGTGTGTGTATTTCATACAGAACATCCCAAACAATCTTATTCATCTTTATACCCACATCCCAAATGGCACCCTCTTGTAGCTCCCCCTGACCCCCACTGGAGCCCATATAACTCTCTCATCCCTGTTACTGTCCACTGTGTTATCAGTGCCCCCAGCTGTTACCCAGTGCTAGTCCATCCACTGAATCTAGTTAGCATATCTAGAGTTCCTTGTTTTAGGAAGATCAGCTCTTCCTCATCTAGCAGCAATCAGTTGCCAACATTCCTTTAGATAAGACTGGGGTCTGTTGTCCCATTTCTGTGCTGGGTTACTGTCTGGGAGTCTCTTGGGCCATACTGGCCAATAACTGATGGAGTTCTATGCAACAGTAAAGAAAGATGAAATCATGAAACTTGCAGCTAAGTGGATGGAACTTTCCTCTCTTTTTATTCATCCTTGAAAATAATTATCTATAAAAATTTTAATGATTTATTAAGTTTGCCTTTACCTTAAATGTTTATAAGAAATAACACAGAAGAAAAGTTAGTACTATGTAGCAGAAAACCTGTAGTTATTATGACTTGATTTGATTGAAAGATCTTTTGACTATTGATTTGATCGAAATATCCTTTTTACTGCTGTGGAATGGTTTTTTATATATGGTATCACTGACTTCATTCATCACACTAAGGAAGAAAAAATCCTTGATAAGGAAAAACGTTTTTCTTTTCTCCCATCATTGCTTCAGTTAATGTTTGTTCTTATTTGGTGCCCTGCTATCCTTTCCATTTAAGGTATTTTTAAGACATTCTACATTTTAGCACTCCCCTGTGAGAGAGCACATCATGTTTCTCACATTGGTCATTTTATAGAATTTGAGCTATTATACTGTAATTATGGTGTCTCTCAGGATCTAAACCTTTCTTCCATAGTTACAGATTTTAATGCTTCTTCCTGTTACTCTTTACTTAAAAGATCTCTTAATTCTTCAAAATTGACTTTCTTGAAATCCAGTACTTAAATGTCACAGAACCAAATGATCCAATTTGCTTTTTTGGCAGATACCATATAAAGCTCTGCCCATTGGAAATTTAACAAAAGACATTAGTGGTCTCTAGACTATTTTGATTTTTTTTTTAAGCTATAGAAAGACTTGCATTTTATCTACATTTTCACAAGAGGTAACTTATGCCAATTTTTCAGGTTCCAACTTGATCATTTTATAACGTAAGGGAATAATAAGGTTATATTTATAGAGAATATTAAATAATTTTTAAAGGAAATTTGGAGGTGTGGCTTCTAATGAAACAAACACAGTGATGTATTATTTTATAAAATGAAAACTGAAACTAGAGGCACTTGGAAAATCTGTGCCAGCACAAGCTGTGTTTTCCAGCAGTGTTTTCCCATTTCATCTTCTACCATTGACGTAGTGCTTCCTTCAAAGTTATTAGCAGTTGTAGGTGCCAGGCAGAAATTCTCTGCTGAATAAATGGCTTCTAATGAAACAAACACAGTGATGTATTATTTTATAAAATGAAAACTGAAACTAGAGGCACTTGGAAAATCTGTGCCAGCACAAGCTGTGTTTTCCAGCAGTGTTTTCCCATTTCATCTTCTACCATTGACGTAGTGCTTCCTTCAAAGTTATTAGCAGTTGTAGGTGCCAGGCAGAAATTCTCTGCTGAATAAATGATCAAAGCTGAGACTGTATAAAGTAGAATTAAAACAGTGAGCAAAATCTGTAGTGGTGCCAACTTGCCGTACAAACCCATTTCTAGAAGCTTTGTTTCTATTGGGTGGCCCAAGCCTAGTCCCTGAACTTCATTTCCTCATTGGTAATGTGAGACTAATAATGGGTTTCATACAGGGTTGTTTTTAGGAAGCATTTGGTTTCAAACACAAAAACCATTTAATAGACTATGAAGGCTGTAATAACCTATGAACCCAAATGGTTCTTAAAGCGTAAAGTAAATAAAGTTCAGAAGGTGGGTATGGTAGTTCACACCTATAATCCTAGCACTTGGGAGGCAGAGGAATAAGGATCACTGCAAGTTCAAGGCCAGCTTGGTCCACATAGATAATTCCAGGCCAACCAAAGTTATGCAGGGAGACTGAGGGGGTGGGGTCAATATAGGAAACTAGTCAGGCGAGGAGGCACATGCCTTTATTCCTAGCTCTCCCAAGGCAAAGGCAGGTGGTTCTCTGTGTGATCTCAGCCAGCATAGTCTACATAGTGAGTTCCAGGCCAGCTGGAGCTATGAGACCCTGTGTAAAGAGAAAAAAAAGGGGGGGAGCTAAAAATTATTACAAAATTAGTATTACTGATAGTAACAAAAGAACTATGAAACTTTTCCACAACAAAGAAAAGTACAAGTAGAAAACACAATTGATTGAAAGGTCCTGAGATGATGTTGATATGAAATTGCTTAATTACATCTGAATATCTCAGGGCTTTTTTTCCTGGTATTCTTTTAGAGGTCTTTGGAATTTAGGAAACTGACTCTAAAATACACAAAAAGGCACCCTCAAAAAATTATGAAATTTTGTCATGCATATTTATAGTACATATTTAATGAGAGTTATCATTAAAAAAATAAAATAACTAATAATTTTTTAAAATTTTTATGACTAACAATTTTTTACTTTACACTTTTAGCATACGGCGACATCAAGAAAGGAGAGCCATTTTGACCCCTATCTTGACAGACTTTTCTGTCCGAATAACTGGAGCACCTGCCATCATTTTCACCAAAATAATCTCCTCAGAAAACTTGCATACAGAGGTTAGAGCATAATATAGATTTCAAATTCATCTACATAATAGAGTAACTCCTTTTCATATGTTAGAGATTTTCATAGTTGCAGCCAATATGACATCAAATCACCTAATTAATAATGACAGTTGCCATCGACTAGCATTTACTGAGTGCTTTCCACGTAGTAGCTGATTTACTCCTCATAGTAATCCATCTTTCACTCTTAGTATCTGATTTTATGGATGAGTGATTGAGGCATGACTCCCATTAGCCACACAAGCTGAAGGGACTCTGCAGTGTTTCTATTTGCTAAGCAAGGACATTTGATGATTAGGTGTACTAAATGAATTTGGAACTGTGCCATTTTTACCTCATGCCTGTGTTAGGATATAATTCCATTGTTGAGTTAAAGATTTTCTATATATTAATCTGAAACAATAGAACCTTAAATGACTTCTCTTAATTTTTAAAAATAAAGCCTTTTATATATTATCTCATTTAACGTTTATAATATTCTTATGACATGTGAGTTTCTTGTAGTTTCTGATTCTTGTGCAAGACTCAAGCCTTCCTTTGCTGAGTTTAGGTCTGCTTCTGTTTGTAAACTTTGTGTGCCTTTGAAGTTTACTTGTTGGGCATGAAAAGCTGGTTGATCTAGGCTTCCGATTCTTGCTTTTGATTTTATATTGAAGTGGCCAGATGGCTTTAGTACTGCTGCTCAGGAGTTCCAACAGGAGGCCCAAGTCAAATGAGGATCAGATGCTCTCAGGCTTCCTCCTAAGGTCTGGCTACCTCTAGTCAGTAGGCACAGTATAATTTTGGAGGCTTGCTAGGTAGAAGTAGAATTCAGGACTCTCAGGCATTTAGGGAAGGATGCTGGCCTCAGGAATTCAAGCAGGTTGTGGGGTAGGACAGCCAGGGATGAAGGCTGATCTCAGGTGTGCAAAGGTGAGGTGGGAAAGGGGACAGGCTTTGAAGGCTCCAGGGGACTAGGTTGAGGAATTGGGTTGATCTGGGTCCAAAGGATCAGGAAGCAGTGGGGAATCTGGGCCAAGAGGGTAGTCCAGAGGTCTGGGGTGCCAAGAGAAGAAATGGGCCACTGCCCATGCTAGAAGGGGAGATGGAACGTGGGAGCTGTCAGGGTGGGTGAGGTTGTGGGAGTCAAATCACAGTGGGTGAGGTCAAATTTACCCAGGAAGGACAGTAGCCTCAGGAATCCCAGGCAGGTTGAGGGGTGGGACAGCCAGGGATGAAGGCTGGTCTCATGTGTGCAGTGGTGAGATGGGGGAGGGGACGGGCTTTGAGGGCTCCAGGGAGACTAGACTGAGGAATTGGGTTGGTCTTGATCCAAAGGATCAGGAAGCATTGGGAAGTCTGGGCCAAGAGGGTAGTCCAGAGGTCTGGGGTGCCAAGAGAAATGGGTCAGTGCCCACACTAGAAGGCGACCTGGGATGTGGGAGCTGGGGGGTTGAATGAGGTTGTGGAGTCAAGGTGCAGTGCACAGGGTCAAGTTAGGTCAGGTCTGGTTTCTTTGTAGCCACAAACAAAGAAAAAAAGGCAAACAAGTAACAGAAATGTAATCACTTTGAACTAAGAATTTTTTCCTGAAAATATTCCTTTCTTGGATTCTTAAGAACTTGCCATCACAAAATTTAAAAATGAAAATAAAATATATCAAAATGTTAATAAAATATTGTCCTAGCTTAATTGGTCGCTTATTTAATTTGAAGGCATTACTAGCATTCCTCATTCCCTGGTGAAAAGGACAATAAGCAATCAGAATAATTAGCGCTAGCCCATGCTTAACTCTTAAATTCCTTGTTCATCAATTCCCTTATTCATTCCTTATCTATCTTGTGTAACTGCCCCTTTGTTACCCAGATTATTCCAAGGATGAAGTTGATCAAAAGAGACAGTAATTACAAGACAAATAAAAGTGGATATTATTCTACCATTTTTACTCAAACCATTTTACCTACTAAGATCAACCATTCACTAGTTTTCATAGGACATATATCACTAGTACAGCTAATATTTTTAGTAGAAACTTTCATCACCTTAAGAAATGTACAATGACTATTTTTTGAAAAAAAGACTTCTGAATCAATGACTTTTTTCTTCTTTTTTATTATTACTTGAGAAATATAATACGAATTCAGATATAATGAGCAAATACAGGAACTCTGTGGAGGAAAGTTTATTTAACAACAACCAAAACCAGCCAATCATGCCAGACATGCTATTCTTTATGGCTTTATTAAAAGCAGCTCTAAACTGTCTAGTATGTATTTAGACCAGCCATAGTATCCTTAAATCTACTATTTGTATAACACTAATAAGGAGAAGATCTGTCAGACATTTCCAGACATTTGAACACTGTCCACATGTGCTTCATGACAAGAGGCAGTACTTGTGCTTATGAAGTGAAGCTTCTGGATTGTTTTGTCTTTTGTTTGCCTTCTGTAAGAGGTTTCCACTGATAAATGTTAAAGTGACTCAGTTATGAAGAAGAACACCAATTAAGTAGTGGACATCTGCCTAGTGTTGCCAAGGTTTTAGCAGTTTAAAGAAGAAGAGAAATTAATTAGTCTAGCTTTCTTTGGCTTTGGCCCTTTACTTTGTTATAAATCATTTATTGTAGCTTTTAGAGAATACTGTGGGGTTTGTAATTGTAATTGTGCACCTTTAATAGCCTGCTTAGATCTGTCTGCCCCGAGAGTGGGTAGATGTTCTGTTCCAACTTTATTCCGTGTGATACTGCTGTGAAGACTCAGGCACTTACTACAGTACTTGGTATGTGTATAGGAGATGCTTAGTAGATATTGGTGTGTTGGAATTAATGAACAAGATCTTGCAACAGAATTGCACCATTACTTATTAAAACAATGGCAGTAGTTTGAAGTATAAAAAAACCAAATGGATATGAAAACGTGAAAAATTTGTCTTGTTTCCTGCCTCACATCTAGCACAAGGCCTGGCACAGAAGTCTTTCTAAGTGCTTGTTATTGATACACCAAGCTGTTAGCATGCTGGCTAGTTTTGCTTTTCTTATATGGACTTGAGTCCCAGGAGACTTAGGAAGTAGTAATTATCAAATAAGAAGGATATATTATCTGAAGCTATCATTTTAAAAATTTATGTTCAACCTATTTTTCCCCACTTCAGGAGATTTTAGTGTGTGGCCATTCTTTGGAAGTGAATATAACCACAAACCTGGACTTCTTCCTAAGTGTGGCTCAAGTTCAACTCTTACATCAGTTAATAGTGGCAAATATGACTGGATTGAACCCATCAAACAAGACCACAGAGGTAACGGTTACCTGATTTTGATTAGACTTAGTGCATTTTTGCCAACTTTACAAAGGAAAATTTAATTAAACTAAATGCTTTCTGCTGATTAATCTGAATTTAATGTCATTCAAAATGTAGTCATAAATCATTTTGGATTGATGTTCTATGTTTTTATTTGCTTAGTCTCTTTTCCTCTTATTTTTATCATTCAGGTTTACCAAATTACTATGGACTGACCTCAGAAAATCTTCTGTTAAAAATAACATTTGATTACCCTACTGAAATTTCTAAGTGCTGTTAGAAGCCTGACACATTGCAGGAGAGGGCCTCTTTTGGTGAACTTTGTGAGACTACTATAGGAATATCTTTGAGAAATGATCTGTAAGCATGTTTCCCATGCCGCTGGAGAATGGGCCCAATCATTAACAGCTGAATGACTGTTCAGAGTTTTAATTTTGAAAAAACGCAGTTTATTTTTTATGCTTTTAATTGGGTTTTTGCAAAATTCATGCAATATTTTTATCTGCACCTCTCACTATCCCTGCCTGATTTCATGTACTCTGTTACTTAGATACATATCTAGATATATAGATAGAGATAGAGATGTAGATTCATCTCCAAATGCCCTTTAGTGTGGGTCTATCCACTGGAGCCTGGTTAACCCATCCATAGTCACACTTTTAAAGAAGACTGACTCTCTGTCTCCCACCAGCTTTCAGTTCCTCATCTAGGATTGGGGTTTCTTATCTACTTCCCCAGTTCTATGCTGGGATTTTGTCTGGCTTGAGGTTACCATTGCTATGAGTTCGTGCGGTTAACTGCTCAGCAGCATTTGTTAAGGATGCTGTCTTTTCTCCATTGTGTATTTTTGGCATTGAAAAAAAAAAAAAAACAAAAAAATACAGGACTGGGCGGGAAAGATGGCTCAGCGCTTAAGAGCACTGACTCATTTTGCAGAGAACACAGGTTCGGTTCCCAGTACCCACAAGACAGCTAACAACCATCCTTAACTCCAGTTCCAGGGAATCCAATGCCCTCTTCTGACCTCGGTGGCCATTACAATCATGGGTGCATTTACATATATTCAGACAATACACTCATACACATAAATAAAATAAAAATAAATAAAATACATATTTTTTAAATCAGGTAACTGCCAAGCTGTCTAGATAGCTCTGTTTCCCTGTGGTCATCTACCACCTCTTGCTCTTAGAATCTTTCCTCTCCCCTTTCCCCAGTGCCTGAGCCTGGGAAGGCAAAAATTTGATGTAGGTGTCCTATTCAAGGATAAGCATTCTTTAGCATCTTATTCTCTGCATGTTGATTAGTTGTTATCAGTTGTGGGTCTCTGTGTTAATCATCATGTGCTATATAAGAAGCCTCTCTGGTAAGAGCTGAGAGAGGCATTAATCTAGGGGTATAACAATAAGTCATTAGGAGTTAGTTTAATGCTATGTCTGTTTAGCAGAATAGTACTAGGTTCTCCCCTATGGCCTGTGACCTATCAAGCCACAGGTTCCTAGGCCTGGTATCAGTTTCAATATATGGGCTCCATCTTGTGAAGCAGACTTTAAATCCAATTAGAAGGTGGTTAGTTACTCTCATAACACTGGTACCACTATTACACCAGTGGACATATCTTGCCAGGCCAGTTGTTGTAGCTGGCAGGATTCACAGCTAGAATGGTTGTTGGTTACTTTTCTCTTCAGGTAGCATGCATAGCAATTTCCAGCACTATGAAAGCTAGCCGGTAGAGAGGAAGCTTTGAAGTAGGTACCAGGTTGATTTCTTCATGCTTGTTCTACAACTTATAGTATCTTCAGCAGTAGGGTATTATAATTGGATAACCAATTATAATTTGTTTTTCTGTATTTTTTTCACCAAATCTGTACTTAAAATAAATCTTCTATAAAGAATTCATCTGAAAAACTTTATATATAGAAAAGGAGTTGCTTCTATTCTTTCAGTGAGTAATATAGAAAGCTTTTAAGTGCTGCTTATTAAGAATGGAGTTAAGGAAAGTGTACTCCCTAGAGCTGACATTGTGGGCACCATTTGAAATACATTTGCTCACATATCTTCAGGTATATTCTCAGGACCTTGTGAGGAAGATGTTGCCATCATTCCCATTTTACAAATGAGGATCAAAGTGGGGTCCTGACAGAGTAAGTGTTCTACCTGAAATCATACAGCCAGAACTAACATAGGAGGCATCTATGAGTTCAACTTTGGCTTTTCAAATCTGTTGTCTTCCCATTTGCCAGAGATCCTATATTACAATGATTACATTTTTCTCATAGTCTTCTCTATTTTGTATAAAAAGAGTGTTAAGTATGATAAGCTCTATAATTTTTGTCATAAGAGTTTCTCTGACCTTACCGTATTTTACCTCGCATAATTTCTGCTTGTTCAGTATCTACTTTAACTATCAATCTATACATTCTTCTAAATACTGGCTTTTTCTCCTACACATTAGAAAATCCACAGAAATATAATTGCGGCATGAAGATAAGCAAATTTTAAAAATTCCTATGCACAGTTTAATGAAGTTTATGAAACAAGGCTGGGATGGACAAGAATATTTTGTATTTCCATGTCATTTGTGTCTGTTTTATGGCTCTCCTGTCAAAGAAGTCTAACTCACAGATTATAGATTTCTCTTAGGAATTCATACAGCTTAACAAAGTGGCTATCAGATATTTATCTACTTATGCTACCTATTAGTAGGCTCAAGTTCGAGTAAATAAAGGAACATAACCACTGTGATAACAATCAAGTCATTCCTCAGTGTCATAGTCTAGGTGTTTCTTGCTTGCTGCTTTTAACATGTTTCTGTGAGTGGGGCGTGGTGGTGCACACCTATTGTCCCAGCCCTTGGGAGGCAGAGGCAGGCAGATCTCTGAGTTCAAGGCCAGCCTAGTATACATAGTGAGTTCCAGGACAGCTGGGGCTGCAGGGAGACCCTGCTTCAAATAGACAAAAAAAAAAAAAAAAATGTTTCTATCTTTCTTTGTTCTTTCTTGGTGATCAGGATGAAAGTATAGGCTCTATGTTCATTTAACAAAGGTGAGTTTGGGGGCTAAAGAGTTGGCGCAGTGGTTAAGAGCACTTACTGCTGTTGCAGAGGACCCAGATTCTCTTCCCAGCATCCGCATGGCAGCCTACAATCTTCCATAACATCAATTCCAGGGGGATCCAACGCCCTCCTATGGCCCTCCTATGGCTATGGCCTCTGTGGACCTTGCATGAAGGATGCTTTTATATGCATATAAAACACTCATACACATAAAATAAAAAAATACATCAAAATGGTGAATTTTATGTTATGTGTATTTATAATAGTTGAAAGTATTATCTTAGAAAAATATGATTTAATTAAATTATTAGCAGGAGGTATATCTGATCAAGAATATAAAGATATTTTAGTTATGTTAATACTCTGTAATTATTCAATCTATATTTTGAAAGGGCTAAGTGATTACCTTAAAAATAACCATGCTCTTTCTTTCTTTTGGTTTACTGGGCTAGCGGTCTTTCAATCTTGTTTATCTTCTCAAAGAACCAACTCTTGGATTTGTTGATTCTATGTATTGTATTCTTTGTTTCTATTTCATTCATTTCCACTGTGATTTTTGTTATTTCTTCTTGTCTGCTGGGTTTGGGTTTTATTTGCTGTCGCTTTTCAAGTGTCTTGAGTTGCAATGTTAAGTCATTTATTTCTGATCTTTCCAATTTTTTAATATAGGCACTTAGAGCTACAAACTTACCTCTAAGGACTGCTTTCAGTGTGTCCCAGGGGTTTTGTTTTGTTGTATTGTCCTTTTCGTTTAGTTCCAGGAATACTTTTATTTCTTTCTTAATTTCTCCTTTGACCCATTCATCATTCAGGAGTGTGTTGTTTAATCTCCATGTGTTCATGTGATTACTGGGGATGCTTCTGAGGTGATTTTAACCTTTATTGTATTGTGGTCTTATAGAATGCATGGAATTATTTCAATCTTTTTGTATTTGTTGGTTTGTTTTGTGCCCCAGTACATGGTCGATGTTGGAGAAGGTTCTATGGGGCACTGAATAGAAAGTATATTTTTTAGTGCTTGGGTGGAATATTTGGTAGATGTCTATTAGGTCTATTTGATATATGGTATTGTTTAATTCTGATGTCTCTCTGCTAATTCTCTGTCCTGTTGACCTATCTAATGGTGACAATGAGGTATGGAAGTTCCCTACTATTAATGAGTTGGGATTAATCTGGATCTTAAAGTCCTGTAGTACTGCTTTTATGAAGTTAGGTGCACCAGAGTTTGGTGAATATATGTTCCTGATTGTAATATCTTCTTGGTTTATTGTTCCTTTGATCAGAATGAAGTGGCCTTCTTTGTTTCTTCTGATTAGTTTTAGTTTATAGTCTATTTTATCAGATACTAGAATTGCAACACCTGCTTTTTTCTTAGTGCCATTTGCTTGGTATATTTTTTTTCCATCCTTTCACCTTAAGGTAGTGTTTGTCCTTGAAAGTGAGATGAGTTTCTTGCAAAAAAGAAAAGGAAGGGTTTTGTTTCTTAATCCACTCAATTAGTCTGTATCTTTTGATGGGGGAATTCAGTCCATTGATATTTAAAGTTAGTAATGAAAGATGTGTATTGAATCCTGTCATTTTTATTTCTGTTCACATTCTTGGTATAGCTGTGCATTTCCACAGTTATACCTTCATTGAATTTCTTTCAGTCACCCCTTGTGTATAATGGTTCCTTTCTTCAGCATTTTGTATTGCTTCAAGAACTCTCTGAATGGCTGGTTTTGTGGACATGAATTCTTTTAGCCTGTTTATGTCATGAAAAATTTTTCTTTCCTCTTCAGCTGTGATAGACATTTTGGCTGGGTAATGTAATCTGGGTTGGCATCTGTGGTCATTTAGAGCTGGGAATACTTTGGTGCAGGCTCTTCTGGCTTCCATAGTTTGCAATGAAAAGTCAACTGTAATCCTAATGGGTTTTCCTTTATATGTGATTTGTTGATTT